TCAACCGAGTCATTCAAAACGTCTCTAGGTTACGTATGTAACCATGGTTCCCCGAGGGAACGAGACGCTGCGAGCATCTTGAACCGAAGCCGTTTGATAGCGCGGTTCAGAAGACGGAGATCTAAGATCAGACGCAACCCCCCATCCTTCTTCGGAACGATGAAGTAACGTCTGTAGAACCCGGACGCTCTCTCGAGAGGAGGAACACGTTCTATGGTCCCCTTCCTCAAGAGAGTATCTACTCCTTGTTCCATTACCAGAGCCTGCTCGGGGTCCACTAGTGTGGGGATGACCCCGTCGACGCAGCTCAAGTTCCTGAAGGGGAAACACTGATTGATTCAGAAACCAAGCCATTGTCTTTATGAAAGAGTCACTGAATCATTTTCTCAACAGATTCATTCAAAACAATGGTTCAGCTCTGTGTGTGTTTGCTTGGAATTGCGCAACAGTTGTTTGTGTTTTACTTTGTAACTATTTTCGTTGTCAGGGCAAATATGGGCAAAGTAACTGGAAATTGTCTGCATCTAAAAATGTAAGTTACGCAATATTAACACTGTTTAAGTTGTAAGAAAAGCAATATCTCATGGCTGTGATTAGACTGTCGCAGCCGCTTTTGCGCGTGTGAAATTGCATAAATCTCACTTGAAATCATGCTTGCAAAACATTTGTTATTGCACTGTTCTCATCATACAGCAGCCAACGGTTTATTTATTGTGTATGAAACTAAATAGCTGGGCAAATAGACTTTAGTGGGATGCTATTTTCTTTTTGCTTGCGACATCAATGTAGTCCGAGTGATGGTTGTTTTATTGTTGTTTTTTTTCCATGGCACTCTTCAGTTCTGTGTTATTTATGCCTTTTTACGGTCCAAATAATTAATCAGCTCCGACACAACAGGAAAAGAAACAGCTTTTAATTACTTATGATGAAATAACAAATTATGTTGGCCTTGTTCCCAAAAATACTGGAGCCAGTGCATAGTAATTAATTACAGGCAGAGAGAGACAGTGTGGGAGAGAGACAGAGGGCTGTGAGATATGAGCTCTGTTCGGATGAAATCAATACACACGCTTTGTTCATGTGTGTGTGTCGGCGTGTGTCTCTGTTGTTGCATGAGATCCTTTGCGATCCATCAATATCTGTTCAAAAGGTTGAGTGTCAGGCCGCAATGGACGCACTGATGCACTAGCATATCAGCAAACGCTAATGCATCAGACACCAGTAGGATATTCTTATAAATGAGCAAAATTAATCTTCCATCCTTAATTTTAATTACTTTTATCAATCCCGCTTCAAACACAGTTTAGTTTGTGAAATTTGTCGAATTTGAAGTACCTAGTAGGCTGCCTACACAGACAGCTGTCTTCTAAGTTGGCATGGTAACTGTGATTAAACCTCATTAAATGAATGATTTGGGATGCTCTGCTCACTCACTTGCTTCATCCAAACTCACATACTCACTGAGTGCATACTTCTTTTGAATAATTGCTTCACAACCATTAAAAAAGTATGTTCTGTTGTATGAATTTGTGTTGTATGAATTTAATCTGGACATACTACATTCTTCATGTTGTCATTGTCATTTGACCTACTAGCCTCAGTTGTCTCTCTTAAAGGTGGGGTAAGCGATTTTTCAAAAACACTTTAGAAAACTGATTCGGGCCGACTAGCAAAACAAACTTGTAGCCAATCAGCAGTAAGGGGCGTGTCTACTCATGATGTGGAGGAGAGAGCGTTCAGTGCACAGGACAGACATTAGCGAGCCGAGCGACAGAAAGATAGAGATGGCGGATAAAAAAACAAAAGAGGAAAACGTCTGCGGAACAAAAGAAGGCTTAAGGCAATAAGTAGGACCCGTGTAAATATCAGATCAGCTTTCCAGCGCTGGAGAGAACTCAAGGAGCGGAAGGCCTGCGATCGGACGCTGAGGTTGCTTTGTTTCTTCTCAATAAGTGAGTAATACCGTGTCTGCGCCGCAACAGCTAAAGTCTGTCTACACTGGACACGACAAAGCGACTGTTGAAAATCATTTGAAATGTGTGTCAATACGTCATGAATAGAACGCAG